TTCCCTTTGGGATACTGATCAGGAGGCCTTTCTCTTCTCCTCACATGAAGCCTTTCACATTTGCTCCTTAGGGTATTAGGGACCACATTTACCACTTGTCTAAAGCAGGAATGAGTTGCTTGGTAATCAAGTTGTTTAGTGGTGAGATAGAGCTGAGCTCTACTGCTTCCTTCTACTCTGTCATCTTGGTCAGTTTCAAATATTGAAGTTCAGCCACAAATAGAGAAAAAAGGAAGATGGGAAATGGAGGGGAGAAGGAACCACCAAGACCTTAAGGCAGAACTCCTAATTTATCTGCCATCCACTGCTACCTTGATAACTAGCAAATTCCCACCATCTGTTAATCTTCCTATCCCTATGTTAATTACCAGCAACCTAGGAGCAAACAACCCCCAACCTCCATCCTCTAATCTCAACCCCATTTTCTTCAATCCTTACCCTTCCTTGTCCTTTTCCAACTCTGCCCACTCCTTCCACAGTGTCCTTTGGAATTCCCATTTCATAATGAATACACCCATTCTAGACTGCATCCTTTCACTCCTTCCATCTACTTGCTTCTATCTGGCTTCCCTAGATAACACTACACTACAATTAACCAATCCTCTGCTCTCAAATTCTTTCCCCCTCTTGTCCTGTCTACCATTCATTCCTTGCCAAACCCCAATCCTAGATTACCCCTACTATCCAACTCCTCTGCTCTTCCTTATGTTTTCTTGAGCAGAGCTGAATCTCAACTGACTGGATATACTACAAAGTAATGTTATCAAACCTCAACTGAGCCCTCACTACATGCAGCATGGTATCTTTGTATTCCTCCCTGATTCCTTATCCTACTCCCTACAAGCTATTATAAACATATAATATAACAAGGGTTATAAATCCTCCCTTCTTTCCCCAAGCCTGTCACCCTATCAGCTGAGGACCCTGACTCTTAATTTTACTAAGAAAATTGAGACCATTGGCTAGAAGTTTCCTCTTCTCTCTTTTTCTTCATCCCCAATCCCCTTGACATTATCACTTGTTCTTTCCTCCAGTCTCTAACAATGAAGCAATCCTCCTCCTCCTCCTCCTCCTTCTCCATAAGGTCAACCCCTCTACAAGGGCTCTTGATCCTCTCCCTCCTGTCTCCTCCACCAGAATGCAAATTCAATCACCTCCCACCTCCAATTTTCAAACTCCCTATCTACTAGTTCACTTCCTCCTGTCTTCAAACATGCCCAAATGACCCCCATACAAAAAGAACTTGCATTAAATCTATCATCCCTTCAAGCTCTCAAAAATCCATACCATTCCTCCCTTTCTCAATTAAACTCTTAGATAAAGCTGTCTTCACTCACTATTTCCATTTCCCTTCATCAACCCTTTACAATCTGGCTTCTGACCTAATCGCTCACCTGAAAGTGCTCCCCTTAAAGTTACCATGAATCTTTTTATTGCCAAATCTGATGGTCTCTTCCCACCCCTCTCATCCTTACTGACCTCTCTGCAACACCTGACACTGCTGTCACCATTCTGGATATTCTCTCTTCTCTGAGTGTTTTGGGACACTACTTTTTCCTGTTTCTCCTCCATCTCCTCTGCTGGATCATCATCTGTGTCAGACGTTCCCCAAGGCTCTCTCCAGGACCCTCCTCTCTCTACACTTTCTTGTTGACTTCATCAGCTTGCAAAGGTTTGTTGTTGTTGTTGGATCATTTCAGCCACATATAACTCTTCATGAGCCCATTTCGGGTTTTCCTGGTTTAGGCCTTCTCCATCGCATTTTACAAATGAGGAAACTGAAGCAAACAGGGTTAGGTGACTCGTTTGGGGTCACACAGCTAATAAGTGTCTGAGGCCAGATTTGAACTCAAGAAGATGAGTCTTCCTGACTGCAGGCCCAGCACTCTATCCCTGCACCACCCAGCTCAAAAGCTAGTTTGAGTTCAAAACTCATCTTTGTGCAGATGCTTCAAAGATCTATGCATCCAGTCCCTTCTCTATTGCCTGAGCTCCAATTTCACTTCATTAACTGTCCTTTAGACATTTCAAATTAGAGCCATCTCAAACTCAATAGTTCCAAAATAGAACTTATTATCCACCCCCTCAACCCCACTCCTCTATCAAATTTCCAGTTTCTATTTAAAGCACCACCATTCTTCCAGGCTCCCACATTCACAATCTCAACATTATCCTTACTCCTCCCTTACACCAAATATCCAATCAGTTGCTAAATCTTGCCATTCCTACTTCCATAATATTTCTCACATACAGCCCTTTCTCTATATATAGATATAGATATAGATATATAGATATACAGATACATACACATATATAATAACATCACTCAAATTATATGTAACATCGATCAAATATATATATTTATTTATTTATTTGGTGAGGCAGAGTTACACAGCTAGTGAGTGTTACGTTGTCTGAGGCCAGATTTTAACTCAGGTCCTCCTGACTCCAGGGCCAGTGCTCTATCCACTGCACCACCTAACAACCCCCAACACCCTTTTCTCTTTGCTCAGAGAGCCACCACCTTAACTCAGGCCTTCATCGTCTCTCTCCTGAATCATTGCAATGGCTTCATAATTGGTTTCCCTGTCTCATTTCTCCTCTATTCAAACATCTTCCACATTGCTGCCAAAGAGATTTTCCTTAAGATCCAACATGTCACCCCTCTACTCAATAACTCCAGTGGCTATCTATGGCCTTCAGGATAAAATATAACTTCCTCTATTTGGCAACTGAAGTTCTTTACGACCTGGCCCCAACCTATCTTTCCAACTTCATTACATATGTTGCTGTTCAGTTGTTTCAGTCATGTCTGACTCTTCATGACCCCATTTGGGGTTTTCTTGGCAAAAACACTGAAGTGGTTTGCCATTTCCTCTTCCAGCTCATTTTACAGATGAAGAAACTGAGATAAACTGGTTTAAGTGACCTGCCCAGAGTCACACAGCTAGTAAGTGTTTGAGGTTGGATTTGAACTGAGTTCTTCCTGATTCCAGACCTAGCACTCTATCCACTGCACCACCTAGCTGCCTTTACATATGTTCCTTTTCCTGTACTCCACAATTCAACCAAACTGGCCTTAGAAATTGTCTAATTCAACTCCCTCATGTTATCTATGAAGAAACTAAGACCACAGAAGCAAAGTGACTTACCTAAGGTCATAGTGGCACAACTGAGATGAGAATATAAATCTCCTAACTCCTTACCTAGCCAGCTGGCCTTTAGGTTCCTTCCAATGTTGAGATTTTATGATTTTATATTCCATAAAAGAAACTCTCAAGGAAGTTGAAGAATAGTTCTTTCTACCACCTGCTAGCTCTAACCCTAGTCACCTCTAGGCAAGGCCTCCTGCCAGGCAGCCATGTCTTCATTATCATACCCCCATTTGCTTACCACAGTTCTGTTGTCACATGCCTCTAACAGCTTAGAATGGGGCCAGAAGGACAACCTGTTAGGACTGGGGCAATAAGGATTGATAAGGGGATGGAAAAAGGGAGGCAGTGGAACTCTTGGGTGATTTACCCATCTTGTCTCTTGCTTCACACAATTGAATTCTGCTGTCCATTTGCCATCCTAGCTTAAGTGGAATGCCACTTTCTGAACAGCACAAGACAAGTTAAAAATTAGTTGCCATATTTTGAAAGAGATAAGAAAAGGCTGATTTAGGAGAAGGGGGAAAGCACTCCCTAGTCTTTGAGGTATGTCAGTTAAGATGATACTTTTCCCCAGCCTAAAAAAGTATCCTCTGGGACAGCTAGGTGGCAGTGTTTAGAGCTTTGGCCTTGGAGTCAGGAAGATGTGAGTTCAAATCCAGTCTCAGACACATGACACTTACTAGCTGTGTGACCCTGGGCAAGTCACTTAACCCCGACCGCCTCACCAAAAAAGCAAAAGAAAAGTGTCCTCCTATGGTCATTTTTTTCTTTTTGCAGATATAGACATAAAAGCCAGGACTGGCAGAAAAATCTGAGGCACAAACTGTATTAGAACTTAAGGGCTCTGGTTTCCTAACTTGTCACAGAACACTCCTGTTAAAAACAAAAAACATCCACCACCCACTAGCTGGTGCATAAAATCCCTACATTAAAACTTCATCCTTTTAAGGCTTCAAACCGTGTTAAGATACAGGTCTTACTGAAAAGGTAGCACTGTAAAATACTATCAGATAGAGAAGAGGAGTGCTATGCTCCTCTTAGGAGGAAGGGATGCTGCTCCAAAGGAGATAGAGACTCATTACACCATGGACAGACTTGCTAGAGGCTATATTTCAAGATTAATATCTCCTATAGTATTCAGGCCCTGGCCCAGCATCCTGTCCTTTCCAAGTCAAATGTCCTGAAAAAAATCTGGTCTACTATGCAACCGTAATTATCCATATCATCAAGTGAACCAGGACGATCCAAAACAACCATTAATCCTTACATTTTTTTCCTTGCTTATCTTTGACCTACATCATGTGATTTATTTTGCCACAGATTAATTCTCCAAATCACATTAAAATATGTCTCTCTAAGGATCCTCATAAATATCTGTTGGATGAATGAGCATGCAATACCTGATGGCAGAGAGAAGACATATGCTTTTTTTGGGGGGGAGAGGTGGAGGAGTGGGAAGGAAGGGAATCAGCCCAGTTTAAACTCTTCCCCAGATAATCTATAAGAGATGAACAGAGAACTGTTCTACTGTTTCTACACTGCCCCTACCACTTTGGGCCCACTAGGGAGTAGTGGGTTCAAACTTCTTGTGTGAGCATAGTTAATCCCCTTCAGCTGTCTAATAAACACTTAGGGGAAAAAACAATGAAAACATCTATGCCAGAGACTGGTCTGGCAGATGTAAATAAATCCCAAAGATTCTGATCAGTTCTCCCACAAATTCAATGCCCTGGGTTCAAAGGACTTCACAGTCAGATCAAGTACTTATCAGTCTGTGACCAAGACCCTAGCACTGCCCTGTGAAAGGCGAGACAGCTCCGGAAAAGTGCAGTCAGGCATCCTTACCTTGTTCTCTGGTGGCGCGGCTGCTGGCTGCTGCTGCTTGGCAATGTTCTCAGACAGGCACCAACACACCCTCTTCTTCTGCTCTTGTGAGTATGCTTCCAAAGTTAATAAGCACTCCGCCTTCTGACGTCAAGGAAAACAGAAAGAAAATCATCACCAATGTCCCGTTGCTGTTTAGTTCTAAGTATCCTAGACCCTGCACCCATCTCTGAGAGAGAGCAGCAAGTGTCTGTTAAAAGCCACAAATGCACATTAATCTGGGAAGAGGAGTTGGGAAGCTCACTGATTCAGAGGCCAGCTGGCAAGCACCCTAGGAAAGGCTGGGCTGGGGGAGGGGAGAAGGGGGCAATGAGGGCTTTTCAGTTCCCCAGAGAGTAAAGCAGTGTAATGAGGTAGAGAGCAAATGTCAGTGAGGTCATACCATGTGACAGGCAGCACAATGGAGAAGGCTGCTGGAGCAAAATCTGAAGAAGGAAAGTGCTTGGGTGTTTCGTACCAGTGTCATGAAAGGCTAGCCCCACCCCAGCTCAACAGTGACCTTTCTTGGTTCTGAACTCTAAGGGCATTTATTGTCTATGTAGCTCGCTGGAAGCCTGCTACAGTGGAAAGTTCAAGATCAGAAGCCAGAAAGCAAGGATTCTATCTCAGCTTGCCCAACTATCTGTGTGACCTTAGGAAAATCACTGAACCTACTGGAGTATTCATTTCCTCACCCTTAACACAGATAATATAATCTAACTCACAGGTTGTTGTAAAGAATAAATGAGACCTACATGAAAGTATTTTGTAAACTGTAAAGGCACTCTTCAAGTAAAGTTATGGTTCATCTTGTACCTCCTACATGTTGCTGGCAAATTGCTAATTAATATCTATATTTTTATTATACTTTTCACAAGTTGTATACTTCTTTGTATGCCCCACAGCACAATGCTAAGCACAGAGCAGCTACTCAGTATTTGGTAATGACTGATAGGGACTTTGGACGTAAGATTAAATCCAGATGTGAGGGCTGGGTGAGCCCTACTACTCCTGAGTATATTCATGTGATATTTGATAAAAAAAAAAAAAACATGTTTAAAGTCTTTGGAAGAGCCAATATCAGAATCACAGACACTGTCATAGATCACAAGTGTCCTTCCCCACAAAGCCTGAATTAAGTCATTAACATTACAGGGCTATGATTTCATAAGCAAAGATTCAGAGCTGAAAGGGATGTAAGATGTCATCTAGTCCAATCTCTTCACTTTATAGATGAGGAAACTTAGGCCCAGAGTAGTTAAGAGACTTACCCAAGGCCACACAGTAAGTAGCAGAGTCAGGATCTGATCCCATGTCCTCAAGCATTTTTTCTACCTGTACCATGAAATCAGATGGCTATTCAAAAAGTTAGGCTAAAACTACACTTGAGTGGAAGCAGCAGGAAAAGTCTAGATGACATCTTAATGTCTTCTCCAGTCCTGCCATTTTGGGCCCACAATAAACAACAGATTCTTTTTGAAAAAAGAGAGAGAGAGAAATCTAAGGTGGTTCAATAGTCAACATCAACACCCTGAGTAATCCAACACATTAGAAGATGATAACACCCAGTGTTAGTCTTTCCAAATGTACCATTCACTTCACATCAAAAAACATTCAGTCATATTCTAAGCAATAATAATTTTTTTCAAAGAACAAAAGAAAGAGAGAAGAAAATCTCTTTATCCAGATTTAGGGAACTGTGTATATCTTTAGTTTCTTATACTTCCCCCAGTGTAAAAGACTAGCAAAATGCTGGTATCAGTTAAGCTCTAATGTCAATTGTGATATCCTCCCCTGCTAGGAAAGGGGATCATTTTGATGGCAACTCATTGGGAGGAAAGCTTTTGAAATCTACAGCGTAGATCCCAGTGAAGGAGACTGGGAACTAGCGAAAAGGACAGATCCTTCCTGCCTTCTGTGGTATCCTCTGTTGAATGGATGTGACCTAACACCTGACCTCCCCCATTTCTCTCTTGGGAGAAATTTACCTGCCAGGATTTCATGCAACTCTTCAAAATCCATTAAGGTTTCTGAAGCAGAGGGAGCAGCATCATTTACTGGGCAGTACTGATGTTCCTTACAGAGTAGACCCTAAAGGTAGCAGGAGCTCAAATCATTTAAAAGAAAAATCAATTGGGATCCAATAGGCTTAAGAGCAAGCGCAGTCACCTGGTGGGCCGCTGATAGTTTCATGCACAACTGCCCTCTAGCAACAAGTACTTGGCAGTTCCTTTTTCAGGGATGCTACTAGATAAACTGCCTGGTCTCTCACAATAAGAATGATGAATCTTTCCTCAAAACTTAATGCAAAACCCTCAAGAGTTTTATCCATTCTCTTATCCTTAAGCAAAATGGATCTTCAAATACTTGTAAACTATTAATTCTAGGAAATTGAACTACTAATAACTCAGTATTATGTTAATGTGGGCTCCTGACCTTTTAATGACCCCACCTTCCAGGTTCACCACAGAAAATGCTATTTCTTCTGGGAATGTCAAACCTAGAGCACTAATTGAATTAAGTGATGTCTCTAATTCAAAAAAATTCCAATACAATACAGTTCACTGTTACATTGGTTTTGATAAATAATACTGACCAAATCATAAACGCATAAATGCACAGTTAGCCTACAACCTTAATCCTGTCACTGACACCAGCTTTGTAAAGGGGCTCCCCTGTATTCCTAAGAACATTTGCAAAGGATTGACCTTTCTCCCTTTGAATCTGGCAATTTAGAAAAAACATGATCAGGGCAGCTAGGTGGCACAGTGGATAGAGCACCGGCCCCGGGAGTCAAGAGGACCTGAGTTCAAATCCAGTCTCAGACACATAACACTTACTAGCTGTGTGACTCTGGGCAAGTCACTTAACCCCAATTGCCTCACGAAAGAAAGAAAGAAAGAAAGAAAGAAAGAAAGAAAGAAAGAAAGAAAGAAAGAAAGAAAGAAAGAAAGAAAGAAACATGGTCCACTTCCCTTCAGAAACAAGAGAAAACTCTTGAATTTTCTCTGGCTCAGGAGCAGCAGCTGCATTTTGAGTTTTAATGAAACCTTAAGCGTCCATCCCAATACATGGGTCCTTCAAGCACTGCCAGTCATAACTGGCTCACTCGTTGGTTAGAAAAGGGAAGTTATAAAAGTCTGAATAGTCTCCAAACCCCCCACATCTCCGCCCACAGGGAGACCTCCACCCCAGAAAAAATGGAACAAGTGATATTTGGTTGCAAAACCTGGCAGGGGGGAATATGAGTTTAAATCTACTCTCAAGAACTAATTTCTTCTGATGTATCATTATAATCAAATATAATTTACCAAGATCCTTAAAAATAGGCTTGAAATCATACCATCAGAGGAGAAAAGTTAAATAATACACTTGGTCCTTTTCTTCCAAAATCAACTCCTCTTCTGAACTTCCCTATTTCCATTGAGGGTACCACCAGTATCCTTTCAGTCACCTGGTCTTGCAACCTTGGTGTCATCTTTGACTCTTCATTTCCCCTTATCTCACATATCTAATCAGTTTCCAAATCTGCCATTTCTAACCTCCACAACATTTCTGTGTCAGATTGGGGACTTCCACCAAAGTTAATATAATCACAGAGACCAAGCCTAATGATTGAACTAATCAATCAAAAGCATAAATCAGATGTGAACAATTACTTGATTAATTTGAAGGGAAGAGAGTTCCTTGATTATTGGGTGAAAATAAATTACACCAAACCAAATATACCTTGTGAGTGGCTGGAGGAACCAAATACATCTCTCAACCTATGTATAAAATAGTAAACCGGTTAAGAGTCACACCAGTGTTTCTTGATGGAGCAGCCACCATTGTCAAGCCCCTGAGACAGAATTGCTTGAGAGAAAGAAAGAGTTTCTCCCCCTACTCTCATCTCCCACCCCCTGGGTGACCATGTTAGTTTGGGAGATCCTTAGGTCCTTTCAGAGGTACCACTGGCAACCAGAGTATGTAACAGAATCTATCAGAGCTAGTAGTAATAACCATAGAAGTTGGGAGGTGACCAAGCAGCAACCTTGATATAGTTATACCTTTCCAAGGTACAAATCCTTGAAAGCTGGCAGAGAGCAATCCCTATGGACAACTTCATGAAGACTACATAAAGAAAGAAAAGGACCTCTGGCAACCAGGAGTTCAAGTTTAACCTTTGACGACAGGTGTCTCTACACATATGCATCACTACCACTGTACGCTAAGATTAAGTCACTCTTCCAGGGTCTTCTTGTGTGTACAGAAGGAAAGTAAGCCCCTCATTTGAAAGGGGGTGTTTTGTAATTATTAGTCTTCCTCTATCCTCTCAGCAAATATCCTTTCTTAAAGCTAACTGAAGCTACTAGCTGATAATCAATAAAGAAGCACACAAGTGGAGGCCTGTGAGCAGCAATACTAGAAACCCTAGATAATTAGGGTTGGTTATCCCTAGAACCCAAAAGGAAATATAGTCAGCCTGAGGATCTGGCTCACCAATGAGAGTGAGTATTAGAGAATTAGTCCCAAAGGAAGTGTTACACTGACATCCATCCCCCTTCTTTCTGTTCACATAGCAATCACTCTGATTTAGGCCCTCAGCATCTCTCACCTGGACTATTGCAATGGCCTCTCTATTTAGTATTCCTGCTTCCAATCTCTCCTTATTCCCATCCATTCTCCACAGAGCTGCCAAAGAGATTTTCCTCAAGTACAATTCTATTTCATATCCTCCGTCTTTCCAATTTAATAAACTTCAATAGTTCCTTATTACCTCCAGCATCAAAGAGGTCCTCTTTCTGACATTTAAAGCTATTTACAATCACTTCCTGTACTCTCTGGTGAAGCCAAGTTGACCTTCCTGTTTCTCTCACTCCTTATCCCTTATCTCTATAACTGCACTTACCATCTCCCATGCCTGATAGGAACTCCCTCCCCATTTCTTCCTCTTGGAATCCCAGGCTTCCTTCAAAAACCTACTCAAGTGCCATCTATTACACACAGCCTTTCCAGGCCTCCTCAATATTAGTGCCTTCCCCCTTAACCAGGGCTATTCTATATGTATATGGTCTGTATTTTTATGGGTAATATCATCTCCCTATTCAATAGAAATTCTTTGA